CCAAAGATCCACCGCTGCTTACTTTCTTTGGCGGAAGGGAGCCTTGCGAGTTCCAGTGCGTCGCTGATTTGAAGAAAGCAGATCTTCCGAAGGAGCTGAGGGACAATGTTGTGGCTGCTAAAACCATTGTGGAGTTTGCTAACGATCTCAACACAAAGTACCCGAGCTTGGAGTGGCGGGAAAGGAATCCTCTCGAGAACTTCAGGAAGAGGAGGTTCAAGGAGGCACCCCTTGATGAAGCTTAAACTCATATACTTTTCTTTGTAAAGGTTTTTACTACTTTTAATAATAATTTAGCTTTAGGAAAGGAATGGAGCTTAATTTTCCTTTTCCAACGGCCAACTCCGAAGCTAACAAGCAAATGTTGCAACGCTAACGCTTTGCCTTGTGATGCGATTGGTCTCTACTGTCAAAACAGATCCTTCTCTTGCACTGGGTTTCTACTGTTTGTGTTTGACGGTAGAAACCCAGCGCGAGAAACCAAAATCTGAGAAAGCACGGCTCAAAACTACAAGGGAGAAGGATAGATTGTATCCAGTGGCATTACTGCAAAACCAAATCGCCACGACCAGCGAGAGGTTTTGATTCACGAGAACCTATCACACCTGCAACCAAGCTCACACTGAGTGAGAAAACGAAAAGACCTTGGAGCGGCACTTTGTGGGAAAGCAAACGTCGCTTTATTCCAAGAAATGCTCACTGTAAGAAAGAAAACGTAGGCCCAGCAGACACTTCCGCAAGGTGGTCTCGGGTGATTACGAGGTGGAGCTCCGGTTCTCTACAACGTACACGTGGCCACCGTTTCTAATCGATTTTCACAAAATAAATAAGCGTTAAGTTAGGGTTGTTTCCGTGAATGCTCTAGAGTGCGAGATGTCAAGGCCCAGTGTAAGCTTTCAATTCTAGATTTTCTATTTTCTTAGCTCGTTTTCCCCTGTGTAGTACAAGAGTTATCCGAAGGTTGTGGAGCCCAAAGAGCGAATACTTGAGCACCGCAAGGGGAAATCTGCTGCTGCCGCAGTGGCTTCGAGGGCCACGGATAATGCACTGCAGAAGTTGGCTGAGGAAACCAAAGAGACTGCCGAGTCTGCCCGAGCAAGTGAGCGTGTTGAAGGGTTGAAGCAGACTGTGGAAGAGGTAAAGAAGCAAAGCGTGAGCCAGCCGCCATCGGTGTCTACTACAAGCAAGAGGAAGAAGTGGTTTGTCACGGATCCTGCCGAGATTGCCCCTCACTTCTACGACAAAGATTTGTTCCGAGCTAACTTCCCGCTGATTGATGTGGAGGAAATTCCAGAAGGCCACCCATTTCCTGTCCCAGACAAGTTCGAGGGTGCTGTGCTTGACGACGAGGCAACTCGGGTTGCGAGGAAGAAGTGGATCAGTAGGCTGTTCGATGCCATCAGCGCTTACAAGGCCCCGGAGAATGAGAAACAAGCGTTTCCTTTGCATTTTGCGTTTTTGGAGCCTCTCCAGAAGCTGACGAGGCCCTCCAGGTACGATTTGCAGAAGCATGAAGAATGCTGTGGAAAGAGGAAATGGCGGTACGAGGACATCCGTGATATTGGCAGGCCGAAGCCCAGAAAGACTGGATCCGAGGAGCACGAAGGCATGTACTTGGAAGTGCCAGAACCGCATCATCCTGGTGAAGATGACTCAGATGACGAGGAAGCTGTGGAAGTGAAAGGAGGTCTCAAAGACGTTCCAACCGGTTCTGCGGGCGGTGTCATCCACGTCTTCGATGATCCTCAGCTCGGCATCACTGCTCGTGGCAACCCGGACAAGGTGGCAGCGGTTCTAGAACGAAACTTCTTTGAAGACAAGCTCAAGTGGAATGGACGTTTTCGAGGAGGCTTCTACGCTGTGAAGCACTGCCTTGACAACCTGCGAAAAGGTCACGGAAGTGTGATTTATGTGCTTGTCATGGCCTCTGCAACATGGACGTATGGGATCCTTGTCCCTGAAGGCTGCGTAGAGATTCGCAATGGCACGATCGAAAGCGAGTCTATGGAACAGTTCCAGAAACACCAGGCTATGACAGGGCAGTCCTCGGCGAATTTGGAGGCGCTGCAAGTGAAGCTTAAGACCGGAACGGCATTTTACCGACGCTGCTATCGTGATAACCCGGCTGCAGTGTACAAAGATGGCCCCATGCTTGTTGGGAAATTCTACTTGTGCTCTACTTGGTTCCGGCTACCCAGGATGGTGGTCGGGGGAGGTCGCGATCCCGGCGGCCGCAGGCTGTTCGATGGTCTCCTCAGGCTTGTTATTGGAGACTCGGTCATGGATCTGACCAAGGAAGACTTTGAGCTCAGGATGCGTCTCAGGAAGGAGATGAAAATGCAGCGGCAGGATGCGTGGTTCTCATGAATCTCCCGCGTTTCTATGTCTTTTGGTGCTTCATTACTCTCATGCGTCTTAAGGTCTGGCTGTCTGTCAAAGCAGGAAGGTTTTTCAACCCAGTCAATGCAATGTTATCTTCAGTCAATGCAATGTTAACATAGTCAATGAGAAGTCAATGAAAGTCTATCTTCGGTCAATGCAATGTTAACATGGTGAATGAAAGACTTCAGAATGGTTTATCTTCGGTCAATGCAATGTTAACATGGTCAATGAAAGTCTTCAGATAAAATATCATGGAACTTGGCGTGTTGGTAATGAAAGAAAGAACCTAAAGGTTATTGCCGCTGTGTGATTAAAAGGAAAAAGAATCGCTGTACACGAACGAACATCAAGCTTCGTTTCTCTTGGTGCATCAAATCGTATCAAATCAAAGAATCTGCCAGTCTTCCTCGCTCGTGGAATCCATTCCCAGATTCAGCTTGTCCAGCCTCAACTCGCTCGTCGATTCGCTCGTCTCTTGCTCCTTTGCCAACGTCCTCCCAAAACCTTCCGCCACTGTAAACATTGGCGCTCCATTGGATTGACTCGCCAGCTCCGAAGCTCTCGCGCACAAGTCATCCAAGTCCTCTACGCACAACAAGCAAACGTTAGCTTACACGCGACACTAACGCTTTTGCCTTACCCCTGTTCCGGCAGTAGAATCCTAGAGCTAGAGAAGGATCGATTGCATCCAGTAGCATTTTCCTCACCACACTGCAAAACCAAATCGTCACTACCAGCGAGAGGTTTTCATGCACGAGAAACTATCACACCTGCAATGGTACGATGCCGAATCAAACTCCAAGCTCTCGCCTGAAACGCTCACCACCTAGAGAGCAGCGTGGTGTGAGAAACCGAAACATCGAAAAGATGGAGAGCGTTTCCACTTACCTTTTGCACCTCATGCGGGTCGAGGTACAAGGCCTGGTCGTCCTGGACGCCAACGAAATACACAGACGCAGCAGGCTTTCCACCAGCAATCCCAACACTTTGTGGGAAAGCAAACGTCGCTCGTAGCGAAGGCAGGTATCTGTGCCAGAGTATTCCAAGCAGCCTCACTACAAGAATTTCGCCACAAAAATAACGTACCGAGGATTGATCTTGTCCAGGCCCAGGACAAGCGGGACGAGTATCAACACTGGACACTTCCCAGCAACGTCGACGTTGTAGAGAACCGGAGCTCCACCTCGTTCTCCGTGTGCATCACCCGAAACCACGTACACGGCCAGATGATCCTCCCCTTCTCGTCCGCGGCCATCGTTCCTAGCCAGAGCTTCGATCGCATGGCACAGCGCATACGGGCCTAGCCACGACCCCGCAGCCAGGCCGTAAGGACTGCCCGCACGGATAAAGTTATGAATAGAGAACGGGCACGCCGGAGAAGGAGAGTCCACGAAGCTGTGCAAGATTTCGAGGTACTCCCGAGCATAAGGCTGCATCACCAACATTTGACCAATCTCATGAGCTATCCTGCAACGCCAAGTCCAAACCAGAGCCATCATACAAACAGTCACCAAGGCAGGCCGTGCAAGCAAAATATGTAGCAGCAAGAAAAATGTGTGCACCAACCTGTTCTCCTCGCCGCCACCCTCGTCCCAGCCGATGGCAAACAAGAGCCTGGAGGAAACAAAACAAACAAGACCTTTCACGTAAATGAAAGAAGAGAACGGAAAAACAAGTCACCTGAGCAAAGAGCATCTGTCCACTCCTGATCATACACCCCCATCCAACATCGCTCGTGAACTTCGATTCACCGATAGCCTCAAATCCTGCCATACCAAAGCACGTACTCTCGGGCTTTGCTTTTCCTTCTTTGAATAGAAAGCTCAAAAAGCTTACCTTGCCTGTAAGTAATCCAGATCCTCGAGCTAAAGTCGAGCAAAAAATCCGCAACAGCCTCGGGAGAAGACGAGGTTGATTCCTTGGCTTCTTCATCCGTGCTGCTGGTCGAAGAAGCACCCATCCTGTAGCAAGCCCCGAGCAGCCAAATGGCGCTGCCCGAAGAGATCCCATTCCCGCCTCTCATTCCCATGAGGCATTCCTGGATTCGTCTCACGGGCCCAACAGCCCTTCTCACCGCAGCAGTCCATTGCAGTGACCCAGCCAAGGAATTTAATCCTTTGTCCCTTGCCTTCGCGGCTCCTGCCCGTGCATCAAAAACCCCAAGAGTGGAAGATATCAAAGATGACCACAAAGAAGAAGAAGAATTTGGAGCAGAAGAATTGGCAGCACCTTCCTCGGCAACCGCAGCGGCGTCGATGATGATTTCCTCGGACGATGGATCGATGCTAGACACTTCCGGCCCGATTCCCTCGGCCGCTGCCGCTGCTGATACCGCGACCTCGCCATTGATTCTCGCGAGAGGAGGCGGAGGCGATGGAGAGTGCCCCATTCTGGAATTCCGCGCTCGGAACGAGAAAATATTTCAGGGCGGAGGAGAGGGGGAATTCTGTTACCTCGATCGGCAGGGACGAGCGCCAAATTCTATCGCACGATTTCCGGAATCTAGAACCTGGATCGAGCTGGCGCGGGGGAGCGCCAAAAGAAAAAACCTACACTCCCCAAAGAACCCTAAAATGGGGAGCGACAAGCCACAACCCAAAAACTTTTAAGCAAGAATATTCGAGAACAATTAAACAGAGATTATATTACCACAAAATAATCATGCTTAACTCTTTCATAAGCAAATTATACAAAACTTTCCTCCATTCCGCGGAGATTTTCTTCATCGTTTTAAATGGTCATTCCCTGTGGAGCTGCTGGCGCTGGCGTCTTTGGCTTTGGTTTCTCCACTACCACTGCTTGGGTCGTCAAAACCATGCCCGCCACCGACGCTGCGTTCTGGAGAGCGCAACGAGTTACCTTGGCAGGATCGATCACTCCAGCCTCGAGCAAGTTCTCATAAACATCGGTCATTGCGTTGTAGCCAATCTCCCACTCGCTCGCCAGGATCTTCTCCACAACCACGGCTCCCTCCACGCCAGCGTTGTGCGCGATCAAAGCTGCCGGGGACAAGAGAGCCTGTGTGTATGATCCAAGTGAGAAACAAAGCAAATGATAAGAGAAAAGTTACCTTCTCTACGATGTCAGCTCCAATCTTTTCCTCGGGGTCTTGCAAGCTTTGCTTGATCTTCGACACAGAGGCCGAGAGGTGTACCATGGCTGCTCCTCCGCCTGGAACGATGCCTTCCTCTATGGCGGCAAAGGTGGCATTCTTCGCATCTTCGATGCGTAGTTTCCTGTCCTCGAGCTCTACTTCGGTAGCAGCACCAACCTACAAGAGACCACCGCGATTCGGAGTTTAGAGAAAGAAGAACAAAAGAAAAAAATCCGTACCTTGATGACTGCCACTCCACCGGAAAGCTTGGCTATTCTCTCCGATAGCTTCTCCGTGTCATAGACTGAGTCGGTTTCTGCAAGTTCTTTCTTGAGCTGAGCGATCCGAGCTTGGATCTCGTCCTTGCTCGCGACGTCGGCAATGATCGTTGTTGAGTTGTTGGTGATTTTAACTTTGCGTGCTGTTCCCAGCTGCTCGAAAGTGGCGGTCTCGGGTTTTAGCCCAAGATCAGAAGCAATATATTCAGCGCCTACAACATCACGCAAATGAAAACTCAAACTACAACAAGAAAAGAAAAACTCTTGTATACCTGTGATGATGGCAATGTCCTGAAGGAGTGCTTTTCTCCGCTCTCCAAAGCCAGGAGCCTTGGTTGCTGCAACGTTGAGAACACCCCGGAGCTTGTTCACGACCAACGTGGCCAGAGCTTCTCCGGACACATCCTCGGCGATAAGGAGCAGCGGAGCACTCTTTTGAGAAGTCTTCTCCAGCACCGACAATATATCCTTGATGGTTGTGAGCTTTTGGTCCGTGACTAGAACTTTGGCATTGTCGAACTCTACTGTCGACTTTTCTGGATTGGTCACAAACTGTGGAGAGATGTATCCTCTATCGTACTGCAAAACGTTTGTGTGAGATGAAGCTCAGCCAATAAATACCAATTCGACTCACCTCCATCCCCTCTTCCACATCAACGGACGTTTCAAACGAAGACGACGACTCGATAGAAAGTACTCCGTCGGGGCCGACCTTGTCAATCGCATCGGCAATCATGTTTCCAACAAAATCATCGTTTCCAGCAGAAATAGTAGCCACAGCTGCAACCAAAGAAGGAATACTTGAGAACCAGAAAAACTGTGACATGCATAGACTAACCTTTAATGTCTTCCCGTCCCTTGACTGGCCTCGACTTATCCTTGAGCTCCTCAATCAAGGCAGAGACAGTTTTGTCAATGCCTTTTTTGATTGCCACTGGATTAGCTCCCGAAGTCACGGACAAAAGTCCCATTTTGATGAGCTCTCGTGCCAATACACACGCGGTGGTCGTGCCATCGCCAGCTGAGTCATTCGTTTTGCTCGCAACCTGTATAAAAAAGACTGATAAGATACGCGGAGAGAAAAAAGAAAGCAAAATGAGGACGAAAAAAAAAGCTTACCTCTCTGATGAGAGCAGCACCCGCATTTTCCATGTTATTTGGAAGCTCAATTGCTCGAGCAATCGTAACACCGTCGTTGACGACTTTAGCATTTCCAAACTCATCCAACACCACATTCCTTCCTGGAAAGGAAGAAAAGAGGGCATGAAGGGAAAGCTAGAAGGAAACGAAGCCTTTTTCTTACCCCGAGGACCAAGCGTGACGCCAACAGCATCGGTCAATTTATCAATCCCGGCTTGCAATGCTGCTCGCGAATCCTGGTCGAAGGCAATCTCCTTGGCATTGGCACGAACAACAAATCTATTCCGCCTCGGCCGACACACCGCTCGCAGCCCCACTGCCGAAGCTCTCCCAATTAGCTTCCCCTGCGACGAGCCGGAAGGCCGGCCCAGCTGCTAGAACAAGCAATCGAGGAGAAATTCACAAAAAGGCCACAGATTCGCGACGAGAAATGGAGCTTACCGAGAGAGGCGCCGCCGCTAGGCATGGCGAGCGATGTGGGAGCAGCGCATTGTTGGCCGCCATGCTTGCGCTCCTGCCCTAAACTCGCCCTCTCTAAACCTTAGAAGCCTCTAGAAAAAAATATCTTAATATTCCTCCCCTGTTAAAAATTTGTCTCGTACATAAAATAAATGGAGATGCCGGGTATCGATCCCGGTACCTCTCGCATGCTAAGCGAGCGCTCTACCATCTGAGCTACATCCCCTTAGCAATTCTATTATTACTAAAATAATCACAAAACTATTTTTAATTAAATTATTACTATTTTAACTAAATCATTATTTACTAATATTAAGAGTTTAGCAATTTTTATCTTTTTTTACGATGGGAGCTACTGGCTAAAAGGCTCCTTTCGGGTTCATAAAAGTGCTTTGAAGATCCAAGAAGCATTACCAAATGCCATCCCAACATATCAACGATCAGGAGTACCATCCATCAAGATCAAGACCAACTTGTCGTGAAGAGCTGGTGCTCGCAATCTTGATAGACAAATGATCAAAATCTGAAGTACTGAGCAAATTTCTATACCAAGGGCAAGGAAGACAAGTGGAGTGCTGGCACTGATGAAGAAAATGTTATACCATATCACTAAAATGAGAAGTAAACTTCTTCCCATTGGCAATTCTGTTCACACGATCGAAGCCACACAAGTATGATAAACTCCTCCATCGGCGTAGAGAAGAAACAGACTCATCAGACAAAATCCCCAAGTGATCCAAAACATCTTCATCTGCTTCTAAAAGCAATGCCTTGAGCGTAGCCGAAAGATGCTGACCGAGGCATCCCTTGCCATTGCGCTGCTCACATCCTTCTCCAGGACAGAAAACATCCCCCAACCAAGTAATCGAGTATGTCAAAAGACTTGCCATGGGAGCCCAGGTAGGGGAAACAACTATTAAGTCTCGTCGTCCAGTAGTCAACAGTTGCCGAGCATAGAGGAGACCAAAGTTTCGATACCCCAAACCAATAGTCACCCCCGAGCTGCTCGGAAAGAAAGCGGAAAAGTAACTCCAGCTCTCCATGGATGACTACCTTTCCCCCGAGTCCAGGCGTTGCAATGCCTCTATCTGCTTGCGTGAAAAGACCCTCTCCAGAAACAGTTCCCACGGATCCGAAAACGTGGCTTTCTCGGATCCCCCGAGCTCAAACCGAACAGTAAAATCAGACGCATCAACTTTCAGCTCCCTCTTAAAGTTGATTCGACCACCTCCTCTCAGATCGAAGGCCTGCACTTTTGCCAATGCATGAGGACCCTGGACATTCCTAATCAGAGCGCCCTAATGTGGCATTAAACTAGATTTAAACTCTAGGTTTTATAGTGGTTTAGATGGCGAAGGGTCTGTGCCCGAGATGGGAGAGTTGTTAGAATGATCGTGTGGAGTTTGGAATCGCTTGAAATCGATCATATGATAAGAGCTTCCGGTATTTCACTCGTTCACAGTTGTTGACAAGGATACCACGCTGTTTGAGGTGCATACCAGTGGGTGCAAATTAAACCAGTTTGTGATCTTAGCCATGGAGATTTCAGGGCAAAGCAACTCAAGAGATCAATCTTGAGCTCAAAGGACATGCTCAAGGATACAGTGCTTCAAGAAGGATATTCCTTTCCCACCTGTTGTAAAAACATTTGTACTAACTCTACCAGAGCTTTGTAGGATCGACGAAATGCTGGGATTGGCACGTACGTTGTCTTGCCGTAACTCTGATTTGTTACAAGGACGACTTGCGAAGAACTGAACGTGAATCCCCTTCGAAACGTGTCGAGGGAGTGTAATTGAAAGCTCAAGTTCAAGACTAGTCTTGTTCGATTTTCTGTATCTCTTCTCATTGAGGTCCAGGGTTCGACCTTATGCTGCGCTCATGATCTAAAACATGTAGGTACAAACAACAATATAGGTTCCACTAAGTAAATTACCATAGTGTCCAGACTATAATAAAATGCGAAAACGTTTTGGGGTGTGTGTGAGATCACGGGACGAGACAACGAAACGAGCAGTGGCTCCATGTGCTATGGTCGCATACTTGGTAGATGCCAGATCGTCACGCTCGTGAGCGCGCAGCATTCTTTACTCCCTTGTCATTCCCTGGTGATTAAAACCCCATCGCCACACTTCCTTCTCACATTCCACATTCCTTCTTGCGTGCCGGGGATCTCGCAAGAACAGTAGCGCTGCTCCTCAACCAAGTTCTTCGTCGCGCGCGATCGATCGTCAAGGTAATGGAACTTTGGTTCTGCCTGGCTCCTTGCGTGCCAATTCGAGAGCTCGCCACAAAGAAATGCGTGTTTTCTGGCGAGCTTTATACTTGGCACGCAGCGTGTCGGGCTGACTGACTCCCTCTGGATCATCGTGTCAAAGTTCCACCACGCCACCACCATTCACGTCTCTGATCCTTTTGTTCTTGACTGTGTCACTGGCTTGACTTGATCCTGTCCTGGAATGGTTGCTCTAGTCCTGTCCAATGCTCTCCAAAAGTCTCTTCTGACCGTGACTTAATCCTTCTCGTTGCCATGGTGGTGGTCGAGAGCAGCAGAAACTTAACTTGGTCCTCGCTTGAACGCTTGCTGTGATGGTCGAGTTGCTCGAGAACATCTCCTGGCTTCTTCTTCCCAGTAAAACTTTCCTGGATGCCATCTTCATCCCAGAGAGATCTCAAACAGGTCACTCTCGGCCTCCGGGTGTGAGAGCGACGACGTTCTCCGGCCCGACCACCAGTGAGAGTCGAGCCTTCGAATCGAGAAGAGCTCGCTGCCCTCGCCACCGTTGATGGCGGTGCTGGATTTGCTGGCACTGCTTAAAACGTTGGTGGTGGTCGTCGTGGTCGTGGTGGTGTTGCTGCGGCCGTTATAGCTGCTCGGGTCGGCCGCTCTGTGGTCGTTTGCTGGCATGAATTCGAAGGAGCACTGGCCGAAATTCACGAGCAGTGTCACGTCGTAGTTTGATGCCACTGTTGCATGTAGAGGATAGCCAAATTCTCTGCTGCTACCATCGTTGCAGCTCAGCTCTCCCACAAGCTCTCCATCGAGAGTGAAAAAGAATCGTCTCGACTGCGGGCTGTAGCCGCAGCCTATTGTTGTGTTGGTAGTGCTCGCCCATCCGAACTTCTTCTTCCGCAGGAGCTTGCTGTCATGGCTATCGACTTGAAGCATCCCTGTAGAAAACACGATGGAATTAGTTAGAATAGTTTTTTTTCCCTCGCAAACGCATGCTCACCATTGAGAAAGATGCGGCCGTCGGAGTGCAAGCCTACGGATCCTTGTTCCAGGCCTGGCAACCTGAACGGAGGAGCAGCACCCGGACTAAATCCCACCCCCAAAGTTCGAGTTTTCTCATTACCATCTTCTTGATCAATCCCTGTTGTTGTTGTCGTCGTTGGATCAAACGCTTTTCTGTCGTGGCCATTAGCTTGAATCCTCGTCTGGACGATCTTCTTGGTGGAGGAAGCTTTAGAGTCTCGCTGATGGAATCCATTACCCTTGCTTCCCGACTGCGTGAGCGGATACTTCTCCGACGGGGACGGTCTCAGTATCAACTTCATGTTCTCGCTGTCCGTGGAAGACGAGATCTCGGACGCTAGAACGCTCCTCTCCTCGGAACCAACAGCAACGATGGTTATCTCAAAGTATCCTTCGGGAGGGAACGCGCCAGACGGGGGGCCGGGCAAAGGCAGTGCCGACTGTAGAGCTTGAATGAGCACAACTTGGACATCAGCGTCTAGTTGCAGAGCTGCCGGACGAGCGAGCCTTGGATTGAGCCTGATAAGTTGCATGTAATCGGACCCTGGACCAATCTCCCAAGCGATCTCCGGCTGGAAGGCCTCTCCAAGGCAGCACTTCGTGCAAAGCACGAACGCATCCGCGGACGAAACCGGGCACTGCGAAGAACAATGGTACGTGAACGCAAATGCCGCCCATCCCCGGTCAATAGCGTCGGCTAAGAGATAAGTCGACTCGAGCCAGTCGAAACTTCTCACTGGATACGAACCCCTCCACCTTGCGGCCATTTGGATTCCCTCCATAGCTGCTAGATCCAGTCCTTTCATACCCGAGAACGATCTGTCATACGGGAAAAGCCCACCGCCCCCATCACCATCTAGATCGTGCTTGTCTCTTGGAAGTCTCGGATGCTTTGGAAACCTTCTCGTCTTGAGAGCTCGTAGCACGCAAGTGATGACTAAAGTAGCGAGCAGCAAACTGGCAATGGGTAAACCCACAGCCAAAGCGATCTTCCTCCATGTCTGCATAAGTTCCCACCGCTAGAACTTTTTTTCTTCCCGGAAGAAACGATCTGATCCCTGTGCTGCTGGATTTTTATCCTTTTCTCGCTTCCCAACCAAGAATTCCTGTTCTAGTAGCTCCAACTTAGATCTTGTCCAAGCCCGTACGAAAATCCTTGTCAACCATCACCCACCAAAAGCTCCAAATCTAAAAAAATCTCTCCCAGCCGCTAAGTAGCAATATATCATCCCCGCGAATCACTAGAAAAACTAGTCAAGCCGAAGATCTTGAATGTAAGAAGCTCTCACCTAGGAAGGTAATTGCAATGGACTTTACTCACATTCCAGCGAAACTGCCTGGATGTCGACAGATCAAAAAGAGAAAAAATGGAAAAAACAGAAAGATCGGTCAGCACGACTCCTGGATATCAACGACGAAATAATCAAACCTGCTGAGAGCGATCGATCGATCGATACCATCCATCCAGAAAATTGCCGCGCGGCTCAGAAAAAGTCGCGCCTGGATCCGCGATCGATTCACAATGCCAGCGGAGAAATTCACATTGACAGCCGAAATATCGCCAGAGATCTTCGATCCGGGCGATCGAGCTGCGATATTGCGGATCGATCAATGCAGGAGCGCGGCGCGCAGCATAAAATCCCTCTCACCGCGCCTTAACCCTATGCGCTGCCCTTGCTTGCGCCGGGGGCCATGGCGATACCCTCCATCTCGCCATGATCCCCCAAGGGAAATGCGGGGGAGAATCAGGGAAAAGTCCCGCTGCCACTGCCAACTCAGCCGACGAATATACCAGGTGGATATTGCTGGGAGCCGTTGATGAGTGGTGCCAGTGAGGTGTCAGCCGTTAGATAAGCGCAACTTGTAAGCACACTGTCATTTCGTAGCATAGCATGGAAAAGCATACACGATCCAACACGTTAGTGGCTGTCTATGGAAGATACTTCGTTGTAGATAGTAGCCGATAAAATTCTATTAGATTGAACTATATGGTATTGGTATAAATTCCCAACATGGGGATGTAGCTCAGATGGTAGAGCGCTCGCTTAGCATGCGAGAGGCACCGGGATCGATACCCGGCATCTCCAAAGGAAAAAGTATGGCTTTGAGAATATACTTTTTTGTTGCTTTAATGATTTTTGAATTATTGTGTTTTAAGATAATATGAATCATATTAATTAAATTATTTAGTTAATAATTCTTGCCTCTTGCCAAGCGGATGTAGCTCAGATGGTAGAGCGCGCGCGGCATCTCCAAAACATTGAATTATTTAAGGTAATGTGAATAAACGAACATCAAACACAACCTCAGGACGACGGAGAACAAAAAATCGTTTTTTTTTCTGTCATAAATTTCCATTTTTCTCTTCCCTGTACAACAAGAACATCGCCTACAAAAAAGCTTTGTGTGTGGAGAACCAAAAACTCAAAAACTCCATGTTGTTGGCCATCACTTGACGGACTTTGGAGTGGAAGGCGATGGCGATCCCCGTGGCGATGGATAATTGACTTGGCAGGAGCCGTCGACTTTGCCTTGCTTGGGATCCAACTCCGCCAAGTCGTGCTCCGCCTTCCAAAGCTTGCGCTTCAAGTAGTTCACCCTCTTCTCCGACGCAAGCTTCTCAAACCTCTCCTTGCTCAGCTCCGCCTCGAGGCTGTCCGCCTGGCTTTGGAGCCCCTTGCACTTGTCACCGTCGATCCCGGCCTGGGTCTGATACTCCTTGGTCTTGATCTTACACGTCTCGATCTTGGAGTGAGCCTTCTTCAGCGTCTCCTGGACCACCTGGAACAATGCCAACCAAAGTTTTAGAGTCGATCGATCACCATCTTCTTCGAGTGTGAAGTTTAAGCTAGAAGTTTGATCGCTCGGGAAGTTCTGAGAAAAAACAACAGCTCTAGCAGTTTGTCAAGAAAGTAAAAGGAAGAACAAAGAAAAAGTAGTTTTGTAGCAGGAAAGCTGTGACAACAAGGAGGCAAAACAAACATAAGCTGTAAAAATCGAATCTTGACTGAAAATCACGCACAGAAAAAAGAGAAGAAAGGAGACGAACTTGAAAGAAAAATCCTGGTCTAGGACTAGAAATAAGGAAACATTGCAACTTACAGAGATGCAACCCTCGAGGTGCTGGTTGGCGATCTCCAACCGGATGACTTTGTCACGAACTCTGGCCAGCTTCTTGTTCTCGTTGACAACGTAGTCACGCAAGAGCTTGAGGTGCTCGATCAGCCTCTGGAGCCGTCCAATCTCCTCGGCAAAGATATCTCGCTCCACTTTGATTTCCTGTGCCACCGAGTGTTAATATGGAGAAAGAAGAAGCTTGCATTGAAAGAAAAAACTGGCAAAAACACTCGCATGATATTCTTACTCTTGTTCTCGTCACGCGGATGTCCTTGCGTAGCAAATTGAGCTCGTCGAGCTGTGCTTCGTACGTGTTTCTCAGGTCGCCTAAACGAGTCTTCAATCCTGTGCCGTGAAAGAAGAAGAAAGTTTCGTGAGTAGAACAAGAAAGAGAGGAGAGAGGAAGAAGAACAATCACAATTTCTCACAAGCTTGAGAGGACAAAAGCAAGGACGAACCACAGATTCTAGCTCTCAATCTAGACACACTTCCAGTGCGAGGAGCTCCTTCTAGACCAAGCATCTCGAGCTCCTCAATGTCCTTCTCAAGCTTCCTGCAGTAAGAAAGAACGTTTGATCCATAGCTCGCAAAGTTCCACTTTGATCACTAGCAAGAACAACCAAGAGCAAAAGCTCTAGAACACACAAGAACAAAAGAGAACACTAGCAAACTCTAGGAAAGAAGAGAGAGCTTGACAAAGAACAAGAGAATGAAGAGATGGAATGGGATGGAGTGCTTGCCTGTTTTCCAGATCGATGGTGGAGACATGGACCTTGTGGACCTTGAAGTAGTCGGCTTGCTCTCGCAAAGCCTTCCTCAAATCCTTCACCTCCTCTATCAAAGACTCCTTGTCCCTGTAAGCCAAAACCAGCCTTTGCGTCCTCACACACGAGCTCCGGATCTTGGGCGACACTGGCCCCGTCTGTGGCGCCGGCGCCGAGAACGTTGGCGCGATGCAAAACGCGATGCCTCCATCCACCGCCGGGCAAATGCTCCCGCGCAGCGCTCCCGTGGGCGAGATCCACGTCCCGGCGCCCAGACCGCCCACGCTCTTCTCGGCGCTCTCCGCCGATCGAATCGGCTTCCACGGCTCCAATTTCACGTTGGGGCCGGCATTCACCACCAGCGCCGGGGGCTTGGCCGCGCCGGGAGGGAAATATATGCTGCCCGAGCGCTGCTGGACGGTGGCCACGCTCCCCCTGTGGCGAACCATCTTCTTGGCCATCCCCAATCCTGGCGATCCCGGCTCAGCGTCGCCGATCGCCGCCCAGATCCAGCAACCCTTTTGGAGCTAGATCCGACCCAGGTGCTCCGATTGCTGCCCCATCCCGCGGATTCGCCGATTTCTCCCTAGGTTTTCCTCCCGCGATTGCGCATTCTTTGCTCATCGCATTGCCCCTCTCCTGTGCCCAATCTGCCAAATCCGCCACCTGGAGAGCGAGGAGTGAGGCCCGATCGAGCTCCAGAGTAGCCAAGATCCAAGAATTTGGGAGGAGCGCTGATTTACCGCTGGACAGGGCAGCAAAGATCCAAAAGGAAAGCCCAAACTGCCGCGTTCACGTGAACTACCGCATGAACTGTGACACGTGGCACTTGTATTTAGGGCACCTTGATTCTAGGGTTTGGGGATTTTATTTATTTTTTGGCCTCTCTTGTGTTCTTCGTCCCCCGCCGTGATCTTCGATGGCGCGATTGGTTGTTGCGATTGCCCTGGCCGCGATCTTTGCGGCGATTGCTGGAGCTGAGGTGATCTCGCTCAACGATGCTACTTTCACTGATAAGGTCTGTACGTTTTCCAAAATTTCGAGAGATTTTGACCGAAATCTTTGATTCTTTCGCTGTTTGATCGCTCTCCAGGTGAAGGAGCAAGACACGGTGTGGTTCATCAAGTTCTTCGCGCCGTGGTGTGGCCACTGGTAACAAATTCCTTTCGCGAGCTCTTTTCTTTATTTTTTTTTCCCGATGGATGGATGGATCGATTTGCTCTTGCGCAGTAAGCGATTGGCCCCGACCTGGGACGAGCTCGGCAAGGCGATCGAGAGCGAGGCCGGTGTGGAAGTCGCGAGAGTGGATTGCACGGTTGATCGAGCGGTTTGCGAGAAAGCTGGAGTTAACGCTTACCCGACTCTCAAGATTTTTTACAACGGCGAAGAAGTGAAGAAGTACTCGGGTAAGCTCTTCCTCCGTTCTTCTTTCTCGTTCACTTTCGATTGATCGATGGTGTTTTGCTTGTTCTTCCAGGAGCTCGCGATCTGGACTCCCTCAAAAAGTTCGCCATTGATTCGGCAGCGGAGATCTCCAAAGCCAAGCTCGAGAACGACAGTCTTTAACTCGACGAGTGAAATTAACGTAGAAATAAACAAGCTAGACGCTGTAGATAAGAACAGATTGATCAGTTCACAGATTGAGATACTACCTTAAGAAGTTCTCCAGATCTTTCTTCTTTTCTTTGTCGCAGAGGTCGCGATTTTTTCGAAGCTCGCGAGATTCCAACTTTCACCGGAGGTGGTGTCTGCCAAAGCTTTGTTCGTAAAGATCAAAGCTTGGTTTTTTGATTGACAAACCTGAGAGTTTCTTTGGTCGCTCTCCGGATCTTACACCGGATCGTTGGAAGGCCGAGCTTTTGATGTGCTTCGAATCGATGGCACCCGGAAAATCCTGCGCGAAAGAGAACCAAAAGAGATTTTAGAGCAGCCACAAGAAGATCACGTAGACTTACCATAGTACTGCCCATCAACCTCCAAGACATCGATCTGGCCACACACACACAGTTTTTGGTTCTTCACTTCACTCTAGCTTGGCTCTTGAATCGCTCTTGGAAAGGAAAGAAAAGAGTTTTCTTACGGGCTCTTGGAGGCCGATCTCCGCAATGCTGTCCATGAGCGACTTCACTTTGTCGGGATCGTTTGATCGAGTCCGGAGTAGCGGCCTTCGTATTTGCTCCAGGGGAATATCAGCCACGATTGGGCCCCTGCGCTTGCCAACAAGGGAACCTAGAAAGAAATTCCGTCGCAAAATCAGCGGCCCGAAATTTCGATCAAGGACGAAAGGATCTTACCATTCTCCGATGCCTCAGTGGCGCATCGCACTCTTCCAGCGCACGGACGCAGCGGCAGCGGCGCTATAATCGTTCCCAACGCTACACGCATTCTTGAAGAACCCTAATTAAGACAACCACAGAAATTTAGGGTTCTTGGATGGCGGCAAGAGAAGGCGATGGCGACAGGTCAGTACCTTTCTTCCACCTCGTTTTTGATCGCGTCGCCCGCATTTTCTCCTCCCTGGATGGATTAAATACCTGGAGGCGCTTGCGTAGCGCGTGCTTTCTCGTGATTTCTTGCGATTTCTTTGCTCGCTTGGCTTGGCTTTCTTGCTTGAATTTTTGTTCTTCTTTCCAGCTCGCGGCTAGTGTCGATCGAGCAATCGATGAGCAACTAGATAGAACAAGCCAAGCGGTCAGCTTTCAGCCTCTTTGTTTTTCCTTCCACTCGAGCCTAATCAATCCGACAAAATGCGTCATAAAGGCTCTTGCAGCCGGCAACATCCGTTTTTATTCAGTAATTCTGTACAGTTTCAGCTCGACAAAAAATCTCGATCTCGATCGATCGATCGATCACAGTGGAAAAGAATTCTTCTCGCTTTGCTTCTTGTGTTCTTGGGATACTTGGTTGTGGGTTATGTTAGAAAATAATCTCGTCAATCAATCAACCATTTCTTCTTCTCTTTCCTTTCCTTTTTGTCTTTTTTTCTTTTTTTGTTGCTTTTTTTCTTTTCTTTCTGTAGCTTTTCTTCTTTTTTCCTCACTCTGTCGTTCGCTGCGTTGATACACGCACACTTAGACTAGAGCTGAGCTCTTGTTATCTCGATTTTGCAACAGCATAGTGAAGAAAAAGGGGAAGGGAAAGTGTAGTACCTGAATGAATGCGTGTCTGCCTGCTGTGTGTTCTTATTGCCTATCTCCTTTTTTTTTGTGCAGTTGCTCTTTCCCTTCTTGGTGGTCACCTGATTGGATCAAAGAGCTCGTTTTCGTGGAGTTGCTTGGCGTGCTTGCTATCGGATGCGTGTGTGCTACGGCTGGCTGGTATATGAGAGCTGCTGTATTGAGCTTACTTCCCTCCCTTACAGAGCTTGTCCCAGGCGAAGCTCCAGGTCTACATTCGGGTCGTAGTCCTGCAGCATCTTTTTGCGGTCGATTGTGGAAGCCGGACACGACGGAGGTGGAGGAAATGCCCCAAAACGGTTCTTGCTGTCAACCTGCTGGAGTCTCGAGACCCTGGAAGAAAACAATTGGAAGTTAGAACATCGTATCAACGAGAACCAGACCAACTGGTTCCTAAGCAGGAAGGAAATCTGCAGATGTTACGGTATGAGATAAGAGATACGGGATACGAGAATACGAGATACGGGACAAGCGATGGAGAATTCGGAAGGGACGAGAATGATTACGAGCTGTTTTGCGGAGACGTGGTGGTGACGGTTGAAGTAGTGGGGACTTGGTGGCAGACACCGGGGCCGTTTGCCGGGGCTGGAACAGGATAGAGCCAGCAAAGTCCCAATGCAGGTGCTGCGGCGCTGGTAGAAGAATCACCCGGAGCACTGGCAGACGCTGGATTGTTGGTGGAGGAGCGCAAGAGGCCGAGCTGATTGGCATACGCTCTCTCGCGCCTGTGGACGTTCATGTGTCCTCCCAGAGCTTGAGCGGTGCGGAATTCCCGTGCGCAGAAGCTGCATGAGTAGGATCGAGGAGGCCACTGCTCGCTACAACTTGCAGCATCTTCGGCAAACGCTCTCACCTCCCAGGACTCATGATCCACCGCTGCTGCTCCCGGTGCTGCTGCTCTTTGGTGGTGGCTCTTCCAAGCCATTGGCCAGCCAGCTCCAGGAGCTATAACTGGTGGTGCGTTATGCCAGGCACCATTGCGCTGCTCGGGCTCGTGTTCTTCTCGCTTTTGCTGCTGGAGGTGGAGGTGGAGCTGGTGCTGTTGCGGATGCTGCTGCTGCTGTTGCTGGAAAGAAGGCACCACCAGGTGAGCAGCCATATATTTCGCTCTCGCAATAATTTTTTTCTCCTTTTTCCTCTAGTTTAATCAACTGTTGCTGGAATTGGACAGCTTGATCACAGCAGCAGCAGCGGCAGCAGCGGTTTCAGCTCCATCCAATATAAAAGCTTCCTGCGTAGAAGAGACAATGAGCGTCCTCCAGCCCGATTCTGGTGTCTCGGGCAAAAAGGAGAAAGAGAGAGGCAGGAGGAAGAAGAAGGAGGCGTAAGTACCCGAGTACTGAGCTCCACGCTAAGGCTTTCAGCTTTCAGGTAGTTAAGCTCTCTATTCTATGGCCTCCTGTGCATGACTACAACTTCTGGGCCTTAAGCTGGCTACTGGAACTTTGTGTGCAGGTGCAGGATCCTACTGACAGTGAGTGTGATTCACAAGGTACTTGCAAACGGGCAACAGACCACATCTTAAGTGGCTTCTCTCCGCATTCCCCTGGCACAGTATCAGAGAAAGGATGGACTTGTGTTGTGAGGTATGTATTTGTGCGTTGTATCACACTGCACACTCTCATGCGGTCCTGCATTCCATCTCTCCTTTTCTTTTCAGGGGTTGCAGCGGACTCCCCGCGGAAAGGAGTTGTGTGCTCACAGCTCTAATAGGGAGATGGAGACCCGACATATATATCGTGTATATATACCAAGGAGAGACTGTCACTCACAGCAGGTAACATCGCATTCACTGCTGCTCTGGAACGCGTTTTTTCCTTCCATCTCCTCTTTCTATTTTATGTTTCCACCTTGTTTTTCTCCACGGGTTTTGTTTTGCTCGATATTCCTTTCATGCTCTTGCCTCACCCTTGGCTTTTTGTTTCCTTGTGCATAGATGATATCGTTTGAAAGTAGCGGGATGCACAAGCAATACTAATCGCAGCAGCTATGATACTCCGGCAGGAATAGTACAGCGCCGCAGCGAGAGGTGGGGCGGAGCTTGACAGATCTTGCGTGCCAGCCACCTTCGCCAACTTGAAACTGCTGGAGCTCTCGACACGCACATTGTCAAGTGATCAGGAGGTGGATGTGGATGGACACACAGGCAGCGCAGGTAATCGATTATATGGCTTTGGGGTGTAAGCTGATATTCTCTCAGGTGACAAGAACGAGGTCGTTTCCATTTTGGGTGAGCCGGCAAGGACTTCTCGTACTATTTCTCTCCACCGGTGATGGTGTCGTGTGGTTATCTTAGTCACTTGCTGCTTAACTTAAGTGGCTGTTGGAACAGTGCGATCGCTTCGACATTCCCAAGGGATCCAGTAGCTGTGATAATTCGTGGACAAAGAGCAGGAGCGGTGGGCGAGATTGGAGATGGCACGCCGAGAAAACTCCAAAAGAGGTACTTTGGAGTTTCTCAAATCTTGAATGGAGTGTGAGAACTCTCTCTCTCTCTCTCTCGGACTTAACTCCACAGGCCGGCAACCGGCTGGAAGCAAGAGCAAGGCGACACCGCCCGCTGGCGAAATGCTGGCCGGAGGATCTCTCGCAAACAACAACTTGGATTTGCCCGAGTGACAAACAAGGCGAGTGTTTGCTTTGTTGCTACTTTTGCATTATAAAACAGCCTCTTGTTTCAATGCTCCACTTTGGCAGCTTCCATGGCAACAAAGACTCTGCGAAGGACTGAGTGAGGAAAACACTGGCGTGCTCGCGAATAATTTCGCGCGTAGTTTAGCATTTGGACTGCGAATCCGAGGACTAAAGGCGCATTATCTTCGTCCCAGCCTCGACGAGCAAGCTTGCGCGGCGTTTGATTGATTGTCTCTGTGGACTTTGCCCGCGAATGCGCGCGCGCCACGCGTCGCTCGGCCATACGCCACGAAGGAATGTTTAAAAGCGTCTTTGAGATAAAATCTAGGCCGCCAGCTTAGTGCCACGTGGCGCTGGGGATCTCATGGGCCTTGTTTAGGGTTTGGACGATCGGCGAGCGAGCGAGCGAGCGAGCAGCGCCGGCGGCGGCGCGGCGGCTGGAATTCACTCAGGTGAGAGCTCAGACGATCTCCTCCAGCTTTGATTTCGTGATTCATCGGCCTGGAGCTGCAATCATGGCAATGTGGCTGTGTATTTATTCGCATTCTTACTTCGAGCGTAATTACTCTCTCTCTCTCGCTCGCTCTCGCTACCTGTGAGTTGCCCCGCCCCGCGCCTGAGCTGCCAGATCGGTGTGAGTGAGAGTGGCGATTTTTCGTTTTTTTTTTGAATTTTTTTTTTCTTGGGTTCCCATTTTGGGTAGAGGAATGAGAATAATCTCCTGTGATCATGCCTGTTGTTCTGCTTGTTCTGCCTGTAAGGCCTGGTTTACCAGTTATTTCCATTTTTTTCTCCTCTCTGGCGAAGTCAACAAGCGAAAAGAAAAAAGAAAGAAAAAAATGCAGAGAGAATTTCGTGTGGTTCCACTGTTCTCACAGATTGTTCTTTCCGTCAGCTCATCAGCCAGTGGCATTTACTTTGTGATGGTTTCTTCGTCTCATTTGGAGCATTGATTCTAGAGAGCTTGTACAAGCAGCTTTCTAGCAGGGTGCCGCTTTCACTTTGAGGTGACTTCTTTGCCTTGCTTCCGAATCCCGGGTCCATCTTCGACATGATATCTGATCTCTGTTGCGTTTTTGTCAGGCCCGCCAGCTAAACTCACTGGGTGTGTGATTTTCGGCCAGATTTGGACCAGTCCCACATGGTATTTAGAATAGTCTGGACGGTTCTTGATGTAGGCAGTGTTTGAGGAAAGCCGAGTGAGTTATTACAATCGGTAAGTGAAGCCAAAATCATCATACTTAAGGCTGCTCTAATGGAACTTGTGTGTACTTTCAGGATAGCGCCCTCAACCAAAGTACTGGAAGTTATGGATGGTTTGCTCGCCTGGGCAGCTGATGTTGTTGGAGGTGGTTCCGACCCGGAATCTCCTGCCGCCAATGCGTTTCTCGCTTTTACTCCGGACCAGCTCCAAGAGATTGAGAGGCTGGATAGAAGAGCTTCGGAGCTCCAGCGGAGTTTGCAGCAGCTGAGGCACCGCTTGCCTCCGGCAAACATTGCACAGGGTCTGCCTCACTTGCACGCGGAATCATTGGCTTCGCAGTCGGCACTGGCACTTGAGCTTCACGCTCACTCGGCCTCACGCATCCAGGTATTGCAGTGTCGGTGTCCGCAACGTTTGTGGTGGCTGCTCACTTTGGTGTTGCTTTCTTCCAGGCTCAGGTGAGAGAGTCGACTTTGCAATCTGACATTGCGGCTTACAAAAAGGCACTGGCTGCAACTGAGCAGCAGGCAGTTGATCGCTCCCGTGAAGCACAGGAGCTTGAATTATCATTTCAGGTAAGTTGAAAAGAAAAAAAAAAGGTTTATTTCATGAGCTTATTTGGCTGTGATATGAATGTAGGAGCTTGAACAGCTGGAGCAGAAGCTGAGAGAAGAGTACGATTGCCTGGAGGAAGAGTTGCGTGCGCAGCGCGATAGTATTGAAGAGCTAGAGGAGAAGGTACAGGAGGCCTCGCCTCTGGAGGAGGAAGAGGCGAGCGAGCTTCAGTCACTGAGAGCCGAACTGGTAATAAACTCGCCTCCACGATGCTATGATAGACATGCGCCATTATCGTGCAGGCAAAGTGGCAAACAAAGGCTGCAGAGTCGAGAAAGGAGCTGTCGATGGTAGAAAACGAGGCCCTGGCATGGCCTTCGTCTGGTAGTGAGTTTTGGATTACTTGGTTGTCGCGAGCTTACGGTTGTCAAGCAGCTCAGCGAGAAAAGGACTTGGAGCGGCGCTTACGATCCCTTACAGAGCAACTTACGGCCAAGCAAGTATGTGGTTTTCAAACTTGCTTCAGCTTTGCGTTCTAGTTTCTTCCTATGCCAGGCACAGGCCGAGAAGCTAACTATCGAGCGTGACAACTTGGAGGCGCGAGTAGAGCATGCAAACCAAGCACGGAAGAATCAGCTCGTGGAGAGCTTGGCTCACACGGTGAAGAGGAACAAGATCGGAGTGAAGCACTTGCTAATGGATCCATCAGAGCCTCAGAGAAAGTATCCTAGCCGGGGAGGATTGAGCAGCAGCCTTGGCGTGTTCCGGACGAGCCTCGCCTTTAAAGCGCTGGTAGTGGGGTACGTCTTCCTCCTTCATGTCATAGTTCTCGTGGTTCTTTCGAGCAAGCACATTGAAGACTGAAGATGATAAAAGGTGGGCTTACTTTAGCAACTTGTGAGAACTATTCAAGTTCGTCGCTTTGTTGTTCTAGGTTGAGATGGCTATCAGGAGGAAGTATTATGACGATGAAGATGACGATGAGTATTGTGAGGATGAAGATATGAATATTATGGATGCAAGCACGACGATACTCCACCACAGTACCCTTTTTTGATAATCGAATCACAGATGCCCGGGTTCAATCGATTTAAGCAGCTGGAGATGAAAACCATGGCTCTCATACTTGTTGTAAGCTTTTCACTACCTTTTTGTTTAAATTTTATTTTTTTGTCCTTCTCTAGATTATGGTTTTGTTTTTCAGTGAATCTTCTATCGATGAAAATCGCAAGTGCTTCTCTCCCGTGACTATTTTCACCAAAGACATGGTAGAAACATTGGAGCGGCGGAACAAGCGCAAATTTGGAGCTGACCGTGGAGACACTTGTCATTTGTTCATTTCATCCTAGTCTCTCTGGCAATTACTACATTTTTTTTCTGTAGGGAAGGTTAAGCTCTTCGTCACCCAAGCCACGGAAGCTCGCTGGTGTGATCTCTATCGACACTATAGACTGGAAGGAGGTACTCGATGTCGCGCGTCAGGAGATCTTTGACAACATAGAGAAAGGCTGCCAAGATCCCATCTCTCTCTTCTTTTTCTCTAATGAGTCCAAGTGGAACTATACAGTCCTCGATGTGGAAGGCATCGTCGGTACTAAATGTGGAGGAATTGACAAGTCTTCCCTGCCTGGCAAGTCTAGTTTGTTCGATAGTGCTTGAAAAGAATGATGTTTTTTTGTGCAGCTTTCAGAGCTCAATGCCAGTCGAGGAGATCAAACACGGAAGAAATCGATCGCAAAAGCTGGACGAGACAAAGAAGTTTGTCCAACTGGGAAGTATCTCTGTGGAAAGCTCTAGAAGAACAACGATGTGAGTTTTTTTTGTATATATATCTAACAGATCTTTAACTTTCGATTGATAACAGTGGTATCCTCTCCCGAGAGAGGACACCTTATGCAACTCTAGAGTTTTGTACGAGGGGCTGCTGCGAGTGATCGTTGGCGAGCACGTAAAGGAATGGAGCGTGGAGGACGTTTTACCTCCGATGAGAATTCTCAGGTAGATCATCCTCTTCTTTTTTTCCACTAAGTGAGCTTCTTCTTTTGCTTCTTTTTCGGATGCGATCAAACTGCGGGCGCAAGAGCAGCACGACAAACTCCGAGAGCTGCGAGAAATGGCTGCCGGTTTGAGCTGCTCTCGACATCTCGACGCCAGAGCTGCGCAGCCAGTTTGAAGATCAGATGGAGTCTTTCAAGACACTCCTCCAAAAGCATTGTCTAGCATCAAAGTCACGAAGATGGAAAAAGGTGTAATGAACGGTTGAGATTTGCTACATCCACTATATGTAAGGCTAGGGTTTTGTGGTTTTTGCAACCGATGAAGGCCTTGTGCGTGGTGGAGGGCAATCGCATCGGCGACCAGAGCTGCTACAAAGAGGCGGACTTCTCCCACGCCAAGCGCAAGCATCGCGACGGCACCTGGAGCTTCTTCGATTCCAAGGTAAAAGAGGTGGACGATGACGGTAAGACGCTGCCTCGAGAGCCTCCTTTTTTGCCTCCTCCACGCACCAGCAAGCCGGTCTTGGTGCTGGATCTAGATAACACACTTGTGTCGTGCTTGCTGGATCACCACGGCTCGGATCCCGGCGGTAAGGTTTGCTCATACTTCGTGGCCAAGCGACCCGGAGTGGACGAGTTCTTGCACACCATGGCCAAGCATTACGAGATCGTTCTATGGACCGGCTCTCGCAAGCGCTATGCGGACGGGGTTTTGGAGGTTTTGCCCGACGTGTTCTCTCACAGGCTCTACAGGGTGGACAAGAAGCTGGCGAATTTGGGGAGGGATTTGCGAAAGGTGGTGATGGTTGACGACTGCCGGAGAGGGGGCTGCCCTGAGACGGACAATCTGATTGTCATCTCGCACTACGTCCATGATGGTCGCCATGAAGCGTGTAGCAAGCTCAAGGAGGTGGGCGAGCTTCTCGTCAAGATGGCTTTGGTGGAGGATGTGAGGGATGAGATGAGGAAACTGAGGGAGAGCAGGGTGCTGCAGAAGATTGCTGCTTGCCCTCACGCTTGCAAGGTACGCGGCTAAGTGCACCGTTAAAACTATATAATAAACAAAAGTCTATTCTGTTTTTTTAACTATTATACTATTTGGAAAACAAATACATGTATTCCATATTACGCATTTTAAGTTTGCACCTCAGCTGATAAGACATTTGTCCGTCCCGTTTTTTTTTTTTTTTTCACTAAAACATTAGGACTCAAGAATATTCTAGTGGGCTGACAGAAAGAAAGAGAAAGAAAAAAATTAATATATACTTCATATTGTTGATGTGTTGGTTTGCTTAAGCAAACCAAGGTCACAAATTAAAAGCGTATTATTATATTTAAAATTGCACATCATGTTTTATTCAATTTGGGAATGTTTTATTTTACTGCTTCCATTTTGTTAAATTCATCCATAATGAACTCCAAACTAATAAAAGTGTTTGGGGTTTCTTCTTGTGCATGTAGTCTACTAATCTCTCACCTAAGCTGCTCCTTCTGTAGCAGAACTTAATTATATTTCTGTATACAGGAAATATACTATAATCTATTAGCAAATCATAGTATAATTATGTGAAATATGGCTAAATCAATATATATTTTATTCGCTTATAAATAGATAAGTATTTTTAATATATTCATATTTCCAATTCAATAGAAAAGATTTATATTTTTATATATAAGATCTATAAATATATGCATGTATATAATACATTAATTATAGTAATATAGCATATAAACTGAATCTATTCTTATATATAAACAAGGGTTTAAACCCTAATTAATATACTCCTATTTGTGAATATAAAGAGCATTACAATTTGTCCTTGGGAAGGCAAAACTTTTTTCTAATGGTTTGCTTAGTGTTTAGGATTGTGTTTTTGTTTTAATCTAATTATTTTTTCTCCAAATCTAAGATTGTAGATATTAGATTTGTTCTTCCTTTTCAATATTCATTATATTTTCTTCTTTTGCTATACCACACTATCATTGATCAAAGAGTATATCACTTGAGGATACTAATAGTGCTTTATTAGATTTAGTGCTATGGGGCATGATTATATTCCCATCCTTAGTGTGTTGCTCTTGTTAACTTCTATAGGATGTTATTACATAGTATTTCCTAATTTTAGTATCCTACTATCTCTCATTGATTGTGACATCAATATGGATGATGGAATTTGATTTTTGGAGAATATTCAAGGATTAAGTTTATGGGAAGATGATGTTACAAACTTGAGTAGATTTTTGTTGATAAGGAATTCAATTACCTTGGAAATAGCTTTAAAGACAAATTAAAGATTTTTGTAGGGTAAATATCAATCTTTTAATTTATCATTTAATACTTTCTTTTGCCTTCTACTTTTTTCCAATTTTTTTTTTTTCAGCCTAAGCCACTTTCTCATGTTCCTAGTGTCTTTTTCTCATTTGCAATTTTTTTTTTTAAATATTGATTATTTGTGACTCTTATGATTATCATTCTCAATTCAATGTTAAATTGGGTGTTTTTAATCTCTTCATATTAATTTAAATGTTGAGCATGTACATGAAGCTAAGAATCTTAACTTTGTTTCATTGGTAAAATCTTTGATTAATTCTAGTGTTAATTATTCCCCTATTCTAAATTTTATATTACTTTTATCAGAGTTTTGGGTTGAAGTTGAATATGTATCCTTAGTTATATGTGCCACTAAGAGCCCTTTTTTTACTATTATTGTTGAGGATTTTCTATATTCCCTTGAGAGTGTGGACTTTTTTATTAATTTTCCCTTTTCAAGTTGTGTGTTGAGGTGGTGTGAATCTTTTATTTATCTTGTGATAGCTGAAATATTTTATAATAATAAATTTTTATTTTCCAAACTTTGAGCACATTTTTTTCTTTTTATTTCCCTATTTTCACCTTGATAGTTTATAAAAATTTATTTTATGATACTTTTTTTGACTTTTTCTTCTTCTACAATGTTTTTTCCTCAATTTTTTTCTCCTCTTTATCCCATCACTTTGGGTAAAAGGGTCTAGCCCTAACAATGAAGTGAGAATGAATGAGATTGATCGATAGGAAGATGTAGAAATAGTTTATATTGATGGTTATTCAAGTTAATGAGTCTTAAAGGATGGTTAATAGGTATGGTGTTTTATGGATTGCAATGGTTTTCAAATTTCTTTATTTTAGTTTAGAGTTATACTTTTGAGGTTAGTAACTGTCGCAAATGTGACTTCGGGTATCGAAAATTATTTGTCGGCCAATCCTTATGGACACTCTTTCCTTACTGCCACAATGGCAGGAGGTTAGTATTGCTGGATTCTTTATCAACCCCTCTTGTTCAAGTGTTAGTAAACTGGGCTTCGCATCTGTACTTGGCCGGATGAGTATAAGGAAGGAATTCCTAAGTGTCTATTTAGTTGAGCATACTCGGCCCAACTTGTTAGTTCTCTTTTGCTCTGTCTTGCACTGGCTTGACAAAAACCTTCGCGTATTGAGACTAGTCCCTCAATATCGCTAGATGATAGCTTACCATGTTTGCCAAACACCCTCGCTATCATGCCCTTTGTGTTAGTCTCATTTTGGTCCCAAATGCTATTTATGGAAAGTGTCTAGATTTGCTCATTTGGTATATCTACGAAATGTAGAGATTGGCCTGAACACAATGGTGTTCATCCCGTATCCAAATTCACATTCTAGTGCCATTCCATATTTAGTAAGTTTCGAGCTTGTCCCAGAGACTAACTCCTAATACTAAGGGAGGCTTGGGGTGAAAGCCCAAAGCGTGTGTTCCTCAGCTATGGGGGGTTTCAAATGTATAATAGGGATAATGGGTAGGTCGGGTATGGTCGACTAACCTAAGGCATAGTCTAGCTCCTACTTGCGTGCCTGTCCTTGTTCTGTGTTCGGCTTAAGTTTAAACCCAAGTTCCATTCCATACTAGCTGGTGGAGTACCCATATCCTCGTGTTAGGCCACCGATATGCTAAAATAGCGTTAGACTCTGTTTGGCTCCGTTTTGCATGTTAGTTTTAGTATTGGGATGCTAGTTGCTCTAGGACTGTTCCAAGTTGCTTCGGGCTCCTGTCCCTTCACTCCTTGGGTTATACATTTGGGAGTTGCTCCGTTGTTCAGTTTTGTCGTTCCTTGGCTCCATGCTTGGGAGTTTAGCACTGTTCCTTCGTTCAATGGAAGCCTTGAAACTTGGGTTCTGCACCACTGTCTTTGGACACGTGGCATGTGACATGTGGCATGTGTCACGTGGCATAAAGAGGGTTTAAGTTCCACTTCGTGGTGTTATCCTATGGTAAATCACCATAGGATAAAGGGTAAAAACCACATGCACTACATTTGGTATCAGAGGATGAGTCTCGGCGAGTACTATCCAATAAGATTAAGCAACTAGTCTCGTTGCATACACAAGAGATGGAAACAATGATTCGAGTGGGTACACGTTTGGGTGCAAAAGCTTCACAATAGTTCTTTGAGTATAAAAATTTTTGGTTACCTTTTTGTACCTTATGATTTGAGCTTGCTCTTGGGCTCATAGGATGGATTTGAGGTATAACATTTTGCACGAGTTTGTGCTTGGGCTCGTGAGTGAGGCACATTAGTAACTCAAGGTTGCACTTTGAGTTAGTAGGATTAATGTTAGCCTATCGGTGGTTCCATAAGTTGTTCTTTGTACCATGGGAAAAAGTAAACTTTCTCTGGGTTTGCTATGAGTGGCAAATAGGTTGGTCTGTAACTGTTTAGCATGGCACTAGTGGATCCTTCCTAGGCATGTTTACAAGTGGATTAATCAAGACTATAGGGATTAGTCTATTGGTTCAAGTAGTCATTGCCGTGCTCTCTCATAAACTTTTCTTGGATTGGACTGAAGGTAGTGCGAAAGCAAGTTTGAGGTTTAGTCAAAGATGAGACTGAAAAAAGAGTTGTTAGGGATGAAGGATCAAACACGTAAATCATTTTCTTTTCTTGAGAGATGACTCATGTTCACGGTATGCAATCAAGAGTCCCTATCTTAATGCATATTGAAAGTGATGGTCTTACAAGTGGTGAGTTATGGGATGGATAGCGGTGAAGTGCTAAACCATTTTATCTAGGTTTGCCATTGGAAGACTTGGGTTACAATGCTCAATTCTTTTCCAGAGAACCTTGCTATTGCTTCTTTAGTATCTTGGTGTTGGATTAGTTTTGAGTTTTGTCGAAAAGAGAGTGGCATGAACTTGTCCATGTTATGAACAAAAGTTAGTGATGTTGGGTGTTGTAAGTCTCTATCGGTAAAGTGTGGCATTTATGTTACATTTTGTCCAATTGAGTTAGCACTTGATAATCACATAAACCTTTGTAGTAGTGATATGGGCATTACTCATGGTGTTGCTCAATTGATGATCAAGTTATTGTGATTTCTATTTCATATATATGTGATAGTGAGCAAGGTGTTTATGAAGTTGCTTAGTTAAACAATGATCAACCCCAAAGTGGTTGATAGTGAAGCTAGTCTACTTACATATAGTAGCATTATAGTAGCTTTGACTGGATTCTCGATGGTGATCCATTATGCTAAGCTTAAATTAGTACTTTGTTTCCTTGAGAGTTTGCCCATGAGGTGTTGGAAAAGGGTTGTAGCATTCATTTACTATAGCTCATTGGTTGATCTATTAGCACTTGGAGTAGATTGTTGGATGGAGAAGGTGTGTGTAAGACACAAAATCCCTAGGCCCCAAAGTGGAGTTGGAAAGGGTGCCACGTGGTAGTGGCTGAAGTGAAAGCCAAACGAGTGTAACACATTTGGACTAAAAGCTCTGACTTGGAAGGTCGAGAGCGGGAGTGGAACTCCCAACAAAGTGCTCAAGGAGCGAGCACGAAGCGAGCAATAAGCAAGGCTCCAAAAAGGGACCCAAAAGGACCAACACATGACATGTGGAAGTGTCCGAGATGAAGTCCGAGATGGACCCTAGTTGGAGTCCGAGATGGACCCGAAGTGGAGTCCGATATAGAGTCCGAAGTGGAGTCCGAGATGGAGTCCGATATGGAGTCCGAGATGGACCCGAGATGGACCCGAGATGGAGTCCGAGATGGAGTCCGAGGTGGACCGAGACA